CTGGAAGACAGCAGAGCACAGCGGCAGTGTTCCTTCTGGTGGTCAAGAGGAAAATCTGTTTTGTTGTGAGAGAATGGACAGCTTAAATTACCACTTTGGCTGTACGACCCAATTGTTTGCAACAGCAGGATTTTCACTAACTGTTTTCCCATGGTCAATTGTCCCTCAACATAGAAAGTGTATTATATATATGAAATGAGTGAAGCTTCCTATTTCTTATAACAATCTCTTATCTTTTATTAACTCTGTCCAGGTAGCTATAGGAAGAGCAAGCAAATTAGTTTTAATATTATAAAAACGCCTCACAATATGTAAGGTCGTGAGCATAGCAAAGCTGTAAACAGAGGTTATTTGATGTAAATGCTCTTCCAGAGTTTGCTGCTGGTTGCTTTTATGACCTTGAAAAGTCACTCTACCTCTGTTCCCCCCCCCCTCTTTAAAAGGGAGTAATTCTATCCACCTTTATGAAGTTCTTTGTGATCTTTAGCTATTAAGTACATAGGCTTGTTTATACGTTAGTGTATCATAACCACAAGAACTGGAAAGAGTCAACAATGTCAAAATACATCAAATTCAAAACTGATACAAGGAAATCAAACAGCGTAATTATGCTTTGGCGCTCCCAGCCACAAGCTGTTACCTAAAGCCAAAAGATAAACTGCATGCACCCAGGTACATGCAGAAATCTCAGATTTTCTCTGATAGAAACTAAGCAAAGAAAGGTTTAAAGCAATGTGGTGGGATGGAGTAAGGGGCTCACATGACAATTGCCTTGACAGCCTTGAGAAAACAGACCTAATGCTTCTTGCAGTGACATATCTCACTAAGTTTCAAAAGTCAGCAGCAAGCAACTCAGCTGTAAACCTTCCTTCTTTTCTGAAATGACACAGTTCACTTCAAATTTTGCACTGTTTGCTGATAACAGCAAGCCTTTTTCCTTGGAGGAGCGAGTGGACAAGTTCCTACAAAGCTGGGCACGTTCAGCCTGTCCGCAATAGTTGACGTTTGTCTGGGCGGACAGAAACTCTCACTAGACAATGCAGCTCCTGAGGAGACAATGGGGACAAAGTATATTTGCTGTTCGGTTTGGAATTTATTTGAGCTGTTTTCTGAAAGAGTGAGCTGAGGCGATGGGTGAAAGGCCAAAGGACCCTGCTTCTCTGCAGATAAATGAATATACATCCGCTTCTTGCTGGAGTAAGGACAGGCATACCAAGCAGAATGACTATTTCTGCTTTAAATGTTGTTTCCCCAATTTCCAGCTTCATGATAAACCACTTTGATTAAAACACTTTAGGAATATGTATTTCATGGGCTTCATTCCTTCAGTACAAGGCAACCATTTGTAAGTTGAAGCCTCACGTAGACATGCAGAATGAGGCTGGAAGCAGGCCACGTGTGGCCATGCCTAGGTAGGGAGTTTCGCCCACAACAGCACGCCGTGCTTGCAGGAGGAGCAGCAGCATTCAGCATCCTACCAGGCTAAGCACACTGCTGGACCCAGCCTTCGAGTTAATTACAACATAAGCATCAGAGACATTTTTAAATGAAAGGGAAGGACTAGCAGCTTCTAGCTCTGTCTTTATTTGTTAATTCCCAATTATGAGACCCATTGCAAAGGGAGAGGCGGTGGCAGATAACACAGTCCAATGGGATGGTCTGAGCATTAAGTGGGGAACCAGGAAAGCCTCACATGCTAATCCCAAATTGGACGTTGATTTGCTGTGTGGCCTCATCTCCTGAATTTCCCCATGTATAAAATGGGGCTGTTACTTAGCCTGAGGGGTGCTCCACAGATGAATTAGCATTTGGAAAATGCTTTGAGGATTTAAAGTGTTATATAAATGATAAGTGTTAGCATCGTCCTTTTTTTTATATTGCACTAGAACCCAGAGACTCCAATCAAGATCAGAGCCTCACTGTACAAGGCAATTTAGAAAAAGGGTAGGTAGAAAAAGTCCCTGTTCCCCGCTTCAGAGAATTCACAATCTATATATATAGCAGATATAAGGTGGGCTAGAATTACTATCAAATTCAGGGGGAAAAGGTTGTCCAAACTTTTAGCATATAGTGACATTCTCAGGCAATGAAAACCACTGCATGCTTCCAACCACAAAACATTTCGCTGAAGAGAATTAAGAAGTCTGCACAGGCCCTCAGCACCCCGAACGCTTCTGAGTCATGCAGTCCGGTCTTTGAGAAGCTGCGCTCTCAGAGTGCCTCGACCCCGAGGCAGCGAGCGCACTCAGCACCTGCTGACCTGCACCCCGGTTCAGCGGCGCTCAGAAGGGACCGTGTGAAGCGTTTGAGCGAAAGGAGCTTGATTTGGCTTAGTAATTTGCTGTGGACTACAGAACTATATGCTTTAAAATATAGATAATTCTTTCATGTGCGCATTCAATCCTGTCCATTGTTCTTACAGTACGACTAAACCAGATTAGGAGTTACTTAAGGTTTACGAAAAATTTTAAAAGTACTTACAAAATAAATTTGATCATATATTAGCATTAATTGATATACATAAAAACAACTCATCGAATTAATTTCCTATCATTTCTCAATTATGAGATCTTTCATAATTTTATTTCACTTCTAAGCAGACAAAAATACAACATGTAAGTATTAATCACAGAATGGAAATAGGGAAGAGAATGCGAAAAAGAAAAAACCCTCAAAAACTTTGGTGTCAGTATACTTTATGCCAAACACTGTATTTAAAAATGCCACTACATTAGATGATGTTATTTTCAACATTGTTCATTAAAAAGTTTGCACTCAGTTGGCCAAGCACAAATCAACATATGACAGACTACAAAGAAATACCAAAGTAAATAGAAACCTGAGATGAAACAGAACGGAGTAATTGTTTTTTGCATTATCCTGAAGACATCTGTCAACGTTTTAATTTAGCCAAATAGCCACCATTTAAAAAAAAGAAAATAAAACTTCTTTGTTTCAACAAAACCACATTGTGCAGGGAAAAAAGTTTTCAAAAAAACATATTAACCAGCTCCACTAAGTACGTCTGAAAACAGTCCTTCCAAAAAAAAAAAAGGCGGCAAGTACGTCCTTTGTGCAGAAAACCAGATGATTGCATTATCCATAAAAGGAACAAACAGAAATACTTCATTTAGATTTAGAATCTTTTCCTCTCACTTGGAATATTTGTAGTACTTGTATGTTGTAAACATGCAATTGAGCTATGGTAGAGGTTGCGAGGAAAAACTATCTTGGCTCTTCCCTACATCTACTTATCGCTCTTGTTAGGCAATACATCAGTATGTATGAGCAAAGACAGACATCTAGATAGGAATGCAGCTGATAAAGTGAGAGACATTATACCAGCAATGCACATTACAAGATACTGCGAGATTCCTCTATGACCTTCCCATTCCATTTCCAGACAATCTGTTTCATTGTGTCTCCAAATTAGGAAGCCCTTATTGTTCTGCAAGGCCTTATTGAGCAGAAGCAGCGACGTGTTCATTTCAAAGGCATATGCTATTATTGTATAGGGTAGTGAGCAGCCACCATTCTCTCAGAAAAGAGGTGGCAGGGACAGCAACGAGCCTCTCAGATGAACGGTGAATACCTTATATGCTAAAACCGCACAGATTTAAATATGCACATGGATCCCAGCCTGCACGGAGAGGACTCATGGTAAAATAACAGCAACAGCAGAAGTCCACGGACTCACTATCATTTCAGACTCGAAATACTGTTGGAAAAGTAAAGATGGATGTGAATAGCTGCCATGGAAAATAAATCTCATAAAAATCCACACGCACCCTGCAATACCTGGGCCGTGAAAACCCATGGCAGGCTGAAATGGGAGTAGTTCTGTCCCTTTTGAGGTGAGCAAGCATGTGCGAATACTGTTTGTCGTGGTGAGACCTGGCTGTATTTGGCACAGAATTGTAACCATCACACCTCAGCACAAAACAGGCTAGCTAAAAAGTGGGTACCGGCCTGGAAGCTCCTGGGACCAGCTGCTCCATCCCCCCGCGATGATGCTGATACTCTCACACCGTGTTAGCCTCAGCCTTGCTAACAAACGCAAGATTTTTTTCTTCCTCTTGTCTTACGTAGCTGTTGTTGCTTAGTCAAGCATTGACAAGAACGAAGCTTTCAAAGCGGCCTCTCCCTTTACCAAGAAATAGGCTCGGTCGCGTGCAGAAAGGTGAGCTACTACAGTCCAGCCTCACGCGTGCTACGCAGATCCCGGTAACCCCACCAGGTCAGAACAACAGATCAGGACCGGGAACTCTGAGCAGCAGTTCCTGGGAGCCAGTCAAACAGCGAAAGGGTGAACAGGGCTGTGCAAGTAAGTTGATCTTGCTCAGTGAGTAATATATGTAGTTGAAGTTTTCAGTAGAGCTGCAACCTGGGTAGAGAGGGAGCTGTTATCTCCCGAGCTGCGCACAGCTCATCTGTCGCAGCAAGGTCACAAGCGCACGGTTAGTGGTACTTGCAAGAACTGGCAGCGTGTTCTGGCTTCTTTTCACACTGACATTTTCAGAGGCAAGCTTAATAAATGAGGTGGGTGTGTGGGGGGTGTCTCAGTGCATATCACCTGGGATTTCTAGGCAAAGTACCCTAGAACATCTTTGTGTTTAATGTGGGCAAATGTGCCATGCTGTTTTCAGAAGGGAGGCGTCAGTGAGGTCAACATTTGTTTTAACACTGGAATGGAAAATATTTCTGGTAAACAGGCTCTCATTAGATTGCACAAGCACACAGACGAAAACGCAGAAACACTGAGTCTTGTCTGTGTGCTAAGGAAGTATACTGTTTTCACAAGTCATGACTTGAATCCAGAAGTTGTATATGTTTCAATTTAAACCAGCTTGCAGTTCTTAAAGGAGCTAAACAGGTTGAGTGACTTCACATTGTGGGAGGAATAATCTTCCTGGGTTGCTTTAGAGACTTAAGGCAGCCCAACCAGGTGAGGATGTCACTGCAGATCTCCTAATGCCTCTCTCCCAGGTAAAAAAGGATAGTATTTGTGTTTAAATGACTTTTTATAGAACTGCTGTCAAAACTGGTAGATAGAAAGCTTAATTAGGACTGATCTTAAAAATGAGACAATGTGTAGGTGTATGAGGGACTGTGTGCAACAAACGGCTGCTTTAAACTAGAGCTGAGAGTAAACAGGTTCAATCTGATGTTTATCAGAGCATCTTATCTCCTGAGCTGCTAAAATTTTTACTGTACTGTCAATTATGTTCTACACAACAGAGAGAATTAAAGAAAACTTTGCTTACAGCATGAGTAAGAAGGAACATACCTGTCCTGTTTCAGTCATCTCTGCTTTGGAAGGTAGGCATGAATCAGGTTACCTCATCAGAGCTACAGTTATTTATCTGCCCCAGCGAACAGAACCTGGGTCTCTTCTGCATCTGGCATGAGTCTGAACACAGTTCTTCTTGCTAGTACTGAATCATAAATGACTCACTTCAAACTTGGATGTGAGCGCAAAGTATACATTTGCAAATTGGCTCGTGAGGCACTGCTTTGCAATGTAGGTGGGATATATTACATACTGTAGCAGTCAAGTTCTACTCTTTTTTTTCCTCCTCCCTTTTCCTTCATGCAGGATGGTTCTCTGAGCCTAGGATTTTGGTGTCATTTTCGAGGTGCAGAAAGAAGTCTCAGCCTGCTCTGGTGAATGTATCATGTGGATGTCTCTGGCTCTGCTTGTGACGAGAATTCTTCGCTAAAGATGGATGATTTAGCTTTACTTGACCTGTTGGAGTGTCCTGTGTGCTTTGAAAAGCTAGACGCCACAGCTAAGGTGCTACCATGCCAGCATACTTTCTGCAAGCCATGTCTGCAGAGGATCCTGAAATCCCAGAAGGAACTCAGGTGCCCGGAGTGCAGGACTCTAGTCCTCTGCAGTATCGAACAGTTACCGTCCAACTTGCTCCTAATTCGTTTACTGGATGGTGTCAGATGTGGACAGAACGTTACGAGGTTTGGTTCGATCCAAAGATCTGGGGTCCTGTCCTCCCCTGCCTCCATCAGGAGAGTCCCGAGAGGTTTACAACTTAATCAATATAGGCTGGCACCAAATCCCAGGATCCACATGGAAGGGGTAAGGAGAGTCCACGTTTTTTACCATTTCCATAAACACAGAAAATTATATTATTGTATGCCAAGAACTATGAAACTTTGATTTTATTAATTTTGCAGAGATGTTTTAAGTAAGAGAGCTCGTTCGTTTGTTTGCCAATCTGGCTGTTATTTCCCTGTGATAATTTGACTATTTCGAGTTTGTCACAACATAATTGCACTGACTTTCAAGCTTATTCAAAAACAACTTTCCTTTTCCTTACAAAACCTTCACAGCAGCTGTGGAGTTTTCAGGTGCTTCCTGACGATCAGGGGAGGCATTTTAGATGCTGCAACTTTCAGGCAATATACTGATTTTTGGTTGACAGGAATTAAGTCAGTAAGTGCAAAGCTGTAAATGTTAGAGGTGGAGAAGGGTATTTCACTTCTCTGAGCCTCAGTTTCCCCATCCTTTAAAAAGGAGGGAGAGGACATAATGACACTTAAATCCTTGGCAAAACACTTTGAGATTAACTAATGAAAAATTTGAGACTTGAGTTCCTAGTCATTTTATCTAGGGACTGATGTACTAGGTTAATTTTAAAATTCTAAGTTGTTTCTGTCATTTTCTGTAAGAGTACTAAAGCTTTTCTTAACTAATTAAGTCATGTTATTAGACCTTTTAAAGCAGCTTGACTCAGTGAATTTGGGGTGAGATTGACTCATGGTTTCATTTTACTTGTATTATATTCCTGGAATTCCACTTCTTCCATCTGAAGTATTCTTTGTGTAAAGTCTCTACAAAGCTTTTTTTTCATAATAGTCAAACGTGTAACTCAAATGATTGTTAACTCTCAGAGCTTTTTTCAGAACTGCAGAGATATAAACCTACAGACAAATATTTGCCAGCATAATATAAATGTACATATGTGCATGTGTTGTTGTACAGAAGTACCCACAGTAAAGCGTACTGTACCTTGAGTACAATCCGGTGTATGTATCCTGAGGAATCTTTGTGGGGTTGATAAGTCATCTTGGATGTATCACACACAAAAAAAATCTATCTTTGGAGCTCAGGTCTCAGGTTTTCCCATTAGAAAATGTGGCAGTGTGGCTCTGAAATATATGAACTAGCGTCCCTTCTAGTGTGGGCAGCAACGGCAAGCGCAGGGAATTTTTTTTTTTCTGTCCATGCCTCAGTTCCAGTCCAGTCTTGGTGGCGCTCAGTAAGAACAATGGTGTTATTTTTATTCCTGTTGCAGCCCTTACCAAGATCCTCTGCTCCTCTCATTTTCATATACTGATTTTTTTTTAGGGCAGGGCAGAAGCACAGTAAGGCTCTAGGCAACACAGGTAGGCTTGTGCCCTTCGTGCTGCGCATGACTGCCTCTGCAGTAAGAGAAGCTCAGAGATCCCAGGATCTCTTTTGTTGGGCAAAAGGGGAAGATATCTGCTGACCTGCAGCTCCTGCTGAGGAGACCTGCCTGACTCGGTAGCTTATGAGTACATAGGGTTATGTCTCCCTGTGCGTTAAGGGAGTGCACAGGCCGGATAAGAAGTATGAGAAAGCCGGCCTGGAAGATGTCATCCAGCTCTCTTGCATGCATCTGTGCGGCCAGAAATTATGTTTTAACTTAGATGAAACTTTGCTCAATCCCCAAAGGCACTGAGCAATGTTCTTTAGGTAGTATTCGGGGAGTAGGGGAAGATGGGAGACACAGCACAATAAGGGAACAACCTCCTGTTCACATTATCATTTCAAGTGAGAAATGACGGTGGGGGGCAGCAGGGTGGGTTACAGGTTAGCTAGCACCACAGACTGGAGATATCCATCCACAGAGTAGCAGCAGATGAGTAGTGGCTGCACAAATTTCCCTCGACAACAGCCCATACACGTTTCTCATCCAGAAAATGCCATGTGGCCCTTCAGCCTCCATTACCAGCTGACCTGTGCCCCCTTCATTAAGGTCTCCAGCTCCTGTGATAAGCAGTGCCATGGCCAATTAGGCATCTTTCTGATATAAAAGAGCTCTCCACTAGGAGCTAGAATAGTTGCTAATGCGGTTCATACAAGGTAGGGATCATCACACAGCAACATTCAGTCACTATTGCTATGGACCGCATCCAACCTAAAATGAATTCCCAGGTGGCTCCCCCAAGCCCAAGATAAAAAGCACAAATGCGCTCATCTTTTTTCCTTCTCCCTCACACATTTCACGTTTCTCTTATTAGTTCTCAGGACGGGTAGAAACTTGTTATTGATATTATATATTGGTGAAATTTATCCCCAAAACATTTTAAGATCAAGCTCTTGAGAATCAGCAGAAATAGTGAGGACAGAGCTCTCAACAGCAGGACTGTGATTCTCCAGAGCAGCTCTGTCTAGCTTTAGTGAGTAACACTGAGATAGTCCTTTAACTTCCTATGCCTGTGTGACAAAAGGATATAGAAGTTCATTACACTGAAATGCTCTTAGACTTAATTAGTTAATTAATTATAAAACACTCTGAAATCCTCAGCTGCAAGGTGAAGAATGCTACAGGTTAGTCACATTTTGGTTTTGCTGGTTTTAAATACATACAGAATGGACCACACATTATTTTAGCTGCTCCACTGGGATATTAAGGCAGATGTACCCTTCATTGAACTGATACCTGGTAATACGCAGCTCTTGATCTGGGAGTAGCAAGGAGTCATCTTGGAAACGCTTGCGGTATAAAGATTCAAGGAAGTAATAAGCGATGGCTTGTCTTTCCTCACAACGTGGAGTCCTTGAATTTAAGTGTTTTTAATCACTGAAGTAATCTGGATAAGCAGAGGCCTCCAAACAATTTGGACTTAAGAGTAGATACTTTTGTTGCAAACAAAAGAACAAAATGGTACTAGATTTTCAGCAAATAAGTAGGGAGGGTGGTTTCGTGGTCACTGCACTTACAAGCGCTGGGGGCATCTGAAGAGCACCCTCCACCTCTCCGTCAGACTGGCTGCGAGAAGCAGCTGAAACACCACAAACAGTGCTCGGGCTGGCTCCAGAAAAACTGTGGCTGGCTGACCTCCCATGGGAGGGTCTCTTAAGAAGTTAACGTTGGCAGATATTCATAACATATCTTAAGATTTTACAGGACATTAAAGGATCCTTTACTAAAACCCACTGATATCTTTCCATGCGCTTAAGACCTTCAAAGTCCAAAACCCTATTGTTATTATCATTTAACAAGCACAAAGACATCTTCCAAAACAGCAGTCTGGTCTTATAGGTATTTTTAGATATCTTTTGTAGCAAAGTAAGTTTAAGATTCTGACATGATAGCTCTTTCTTCTCACTTCCTCTTCAAGGCTTTGATAGCGTTCGTGAAATGACCCGATTACCAAAAAATTCCAAAACGGGGAAAAAAATTGTTCAATGATAAGTAGTAAAATCTGCTGGCCAGATGCAGAGAGGACTCTTGAGTTTCTTAATTTCAGCCTAATTGTTTGCACTCAAATGATGCGTTTTAGTGATTCAAGTAATTGCCTTTCCTCTGTTAGAGATGTCTGAAAAACAGCTATTAGTTCCTGTGCAAAAGAATAACCCATTGCTAGAGGAAACGTGGGACTACTTTTCATTTCTGAAACTTCCCATTTGATGCAAAATAACGCATGCGGTACCAACAGCCATTTTGCAAACATTATGTAGAACTCCTAAGCAGTATTATTAACGTTCAACCTTTCCCACCCAGTCTCTATCCTCGCATAGCTGTATGCACCGGGAGACAAACCCACGCACCCACAAGCCCACTCTGTCGTTTCGTCTGCTCCCCAACACCTCCCCGGTCCTATTCCAATCTTTTATCTTTCCCCGCTGTGCAGACAGCACATTCCTGCAGCGCAGTAAACAGCTCTCTCCCCGTTCTCAGCAAGCAAGCCGCTGGATCTGAGAGCAGCGTTCGGCATGTGGCAAAACTGAAGGAATTAACCTCATCACTGCTTTTGCAGTGGGGTGCGTATTATCTTGAAGGGGATTTTATTTTTTTTCCCCAGCTCCAAGTGCACATAGTCTTTGAGACAGTAGCTTTTGGGGGGGCACAGAATTCATTATTTAGTTTAAAGCACTGCGCTCTGTGGACTTGACCCAAAGCACTCTGAAACTGACGGAAAGGCCCCAGCTGGAATGAATGGCCTTTAGAGACAATCCTTCATTTCATGCTACAAATATCTACTTTTTTTCCCAAGAAAAAAACTGTCAGAACAACTGCCAGGCAGTCCTGCTCCACCACAGTTAACACCACCACAGTTGCTTCCTTGCGTGCACTTAAATGCAGTACCCGTCTACAACTGCATTAGAGGGTGATATGATCTCCAGCGAAAGACTGCCCCTATTTGCATAGAATACTAATTATCATTAATACTATATACTACAACATACTACAAAGCAAATGAAATTTTAGAATATGCACCACGCTGCACTGTAGCCAGATATATCATCAGAGGTAGGATACAAGACATGTTTTGTTTTCAGCAAAGAAGTTAGTCTATAAATAAATTTCCTGTACTCCATGGAACAGAGAAAATCACAAGTTTGACCGAAGTCTTGCCTCTCAGCAGAGATGCTTTCTTGCCAGCTTGCTGCTCTTCATCCTCATGAGCCTGGGAGCATCCATGAAGCCAAAAAATAAAACAAATCTCACTGTCATCAAGCAAGCCAAGAGTTCATATGATTCCAAGTGTAGCGTGCAAGCAGGAGCCAGTGCTAAATTAATATTATCAGTAATATAAGCTATAGGCTGCAGTCAGGAATTTCACAGAGACAGTCCTAAAAAACTTAGGGAATATTTTAATTACAGCCCATCCTAAATTATTTCTTACCTGGTAGCATGTCAATTACCTCTGAATGTACTTCCTACTTACTAATATAGGATGGGTGCATTCTGGTTGTGTATATATGGACAGAGCAGTGTATAGCCAGGATATAGCTGTACATGTACAAAACAGTATCTGAAGGACACGGAGGAAGTGCAGCCACTTAAAAAGAATTGCACAAAGACAAATTAGCGCTGCCCATTA